GGGTGGATTAGTAGGTGTGGAGTTGAGGTTGAAGAACCACTGTGCATGGTGGTTCGATGCTTAGTTCTTACCCAAAGAAAGAAACATCGTAGGGGCGATGTTTGGGTTCGTGGTATTTCCAACGCCGTGTGTGGGTCTCGACGGGAGGAGAATGACCACTCATATAGGGTGGCCGAGACGTTGCTTACGTCGACTCGTCGGAGTATCAGCTGCCATGGCCACCGCGTACGTGAAAGGGGAAAGGAAGAGTGATTGAAGGCTAGGAATTTGGTTCACCATCAGGCAGAAATGAATTTGGAAAAGGGGAGAGAAGTTGTTATACTAAGTTTTGGGTAAATCACGTTAAGGTCCCTAGACCTTTAGTGTGTTTTACATTCTGGTCACTAGTTTTAGGTTAAATCACTCTTTTGGTCCTTTCTATTTAAGGTGATTTGCGTTTCAGTAAATTTTGAGAGTTAATCGTGCCTTAGGTCCCTTGAAGTTTAGCATTTTTTGTGATTTGTTCACCATTTCATTTTATTTTATATGATTTGCCAATTGGATGCATGTTTTTCTATTATTTTATTTTAGTCATCTAATGAATGCATTTTTTTTCGAGATTGGCTACTGATATTTATGATCTTCCATTTCAGTCCTATATGTATGGTTTATTTACGATTCTAGTGCTCTTGTTATGCGATTTTCTTGTTTCATGCCATCATATTTATTTTATTAATGTTTATGATCTCAAATTTACTTTACACTTATTTTTGTCACTATGTTATGAATGAATGCATATAGATATTGTTTTATGTTGTACCATTAAATATGTTTTATGTATTACATATTTATTTTACATATATTATATATATATTAATTTATTATATTTATATAATACTACATGTAATATATATTGTGTAAATGTCATATTTTACCTCTTAGTACATTTATAATAAATGTTATGTTCTATGCTAAATATTATGAAAAAAATATATGTATAGATTTTATTAAGTAAAATAAAATTAAATGCTTTATTTTGCTATATTACATTTTGGTCCTTATGTTATGTTATGGTATGGTTTTATTTTATTTAATCACTTATATTTGTGTGATAATTATTTTTGGGGATTATTTGTATGATTTTATGTTATGTTATGGTCCTTTTATTTCAGTTGCAAAGAGAAATATTTGTCCTAAAGTATTTTAGGGATTATTTTCTCTTCGATTGGAAATATTGGAATATTTTCTATTTATCCTTATAATTTTTCGTTCAATAAAATTGCATTGTTGAATTTGGAATAAAGGGATCGTAACTTAAATTTGTATTCGAATTCTTATATTTCCACTATTAGAGACAATTTATAATCGATGGGGTACCAATTTTGGGCGTTGTGGGGGTGCTTATCCTTCCCCACACGTAATCGATCCCCGAACCCATTTTTTTATTTCAAATAGAATGAATCTCTGGTTATACATAGACTGATAAATCTTTTAAATGATGTTTTCTTAAAAAGTCTTTTAAAAGAAAATTTTTAGGTATTCAACCTATCTAATTCAAAAGGTCGATGGCGTCTCCAAAACATTCTAAAATCCTTTTCAAAGAAAACCCCATGCCGTACTAAATTTTTCCTCGCTCCCGGGCGAAAAATGGTTACGACAATTATTATTATTATTATAATTTATGTTAATTACATTTTTTGCAGGCTCCAATTGAAGCCCAAATACAACAACACAATCCAACAAACTTAGGCCCAGTTACAAACAGTTGACCCGACCCAAGATCTGACCCGTCTCAGGCCCAGCTGACCCAAACCTGCTAGGGTTTTTCACACTAATGCTCCAGCCGCCCCTGATCTCCACTATTGGATATGGACCCATCCAACGGTCCAGATCACTCAAAGATTAGGGTTTTAACCCTAAATATTATCCAGTCACTACCGCCGTTAGCAGAAGTTGAATCGTCCATCGTCGGTGGGTGTGGTATACACGTCTAACCTTTCATCTCCAGACTGGCATGTACACCCCACCGGGAGCCTCCTTAGCTTCGTGAGCCACCACCATCGTCATCAACGTACCCAACAAAGTGATGAATTACATCTAAATCAGTCAAATAATCATAAATCTAAAAACCCATTAAAAAGCCAATAAATCCCGTAAAAATCAGGATTTTCACCAACTCAGATCAGAACAATCATGTCCCTATGCTAGACCTCATTTTTTCACAAAAAATGGAGCTTAAATGAGACATAAAACAAGGGAGAGGGCACTCGGAGAAAGGGGGACCATTCGAAGAAAAACATATCCAAATTTAAAGAAAAAAAACTTTCGAACCGAGAAAAAATAGAGAAAGGAGAGAAAGAAGTTTACCTCGAGATAAATCCGACCACCTCTACCTCGAGATAAATCTGACCACCTCTACCTCACCAGAAAAAGAAAAACTGGAGGTAACCCTTTGGATCTCTAGGTTTTTTGGGTTCTTATTAGAAAAAATGATTCATTTTAAGAAGGGGGTAGTGTTTAGGTTGGTTTTTGGGTCAAAAGGAGAGAGATTGAGGGGTTGGGTTTCCAATTCGATGGTCGTTACCTCCGGTGTTAGTTGAGGACGACTGTCGTTACTCCTTTTCTTTTCTCATCGGTTTGGAGAGAGAGAAATAGAGAGAAGAGATGAGTGAATGCGGTTGGGTGAAGGTTAATAAATGAATTAGGGTTTTGAAATAACCCTTAAAACCGGTTATATCTCAGCTTCTATACGGCGTCATACAAGAGAAGAGGGGCTGCGTGTTTTGAGAAAAGGGTTTAATTATTGTTTAGGTCCCTCCTCATTTGTAATATTTTGTTTTAGCCATTAATGAAACTTTGTGATATTTTACTTCGAGCACTTATCTTTCAATGTTTTCATTTAAGCTATTATCCTACATATTATGATATTTGCGTTGATATTGGACTCTGGTTATAATATTTGTAAATATTTCATTTCAGTCATTGCTTTGTACATTGTTGTTTTTAGGTATAATTCTTATTTACCCTTACTAATTTCTGGTTTGTTTTATTTTGGTCATATATGCTGCTTTAGGATTATTTTCTGTTTTAGTACTTATGTTATATGATGTTTACGCGTTAGCTGTGATTTTATATATGTTTATTATTATGCCTCTAAAGTTAATGTTCTTTCTATTTAGTCCTTATTTACTAGGTATGATTAGATTCTTTTATTGATATTTTAGCTTATCATGTTTGTATATATATATTTTGGTCCAAATTTGTAACGTTGTTTTATTGCCAATTAAAAAATTTATGTATGTATATATGTATATATAAATTATGTATTATTTTAAGCCTTCTTTGTATGGGTTTTTTTTTTATTTCTATGTGTTCTATTATGCACATATTTATTTATATGTTTCAATTTATATTTTATTATTATAGTTCTTTTACATGTTTAAATATGTATTTATTTTTAGCTATTAATTTTTACTCCTTTATGTGTTATTACTCATAACCATTTTTAAGAACATTTGTCGAATGGGTGTAAAAGCACACCTTATAGAGGAGGTGCGATTCAATATAACATTCGAATGAAAGGCGAATTTTAAATAAATCGATTTTATTTTACTAATTAATTTGTTTTTATTCTAATTCAAATGATGCAATGAGTGTTATTTTAAATAGCAATTTATTTTATACAAATGCCAATTTTCAATTTATATCAATGTTTTTAAAACCGGACCGGACATTGAACCGGTGAAGGTACCGGTTCACTGGTTCAACCGGGTTCAACCGTGGTTGAATCGGATTTTATATAAAATAATTTTTTTTTAAATTTTACATAATATTCAAAGCAATATTAATATATATGTAACACTTTTTTTAAGTTTACAATATTAAAAGGTATTAAAATATCACAAGTCATAACATATATAAGTTAAAACCCATAAAATCAAGTGAAACAAATGATTCAAATCAACTACAACATAATATTTAAGGTAAAACATATTAAATAATAAATATAATTATATAACTATAATCAAAAAATAAATTTGGGGCTGAAAAAAATCATAACAAACGATGTCATTTGGTTTAATTTTTTTTTAAAAAACAATCTCACATGGCTAAGAAATATAGAAGAGCATCTCAAAAGTCTAAAGAGTAAAAATATGATAACAAAACAATCCCACATGGCTAAGAAACATAGAAGAGCATCCCAACTGACTTCTATAAATAATAGAGATAATTTGACATTCAAAATCATGGAGTCTTTTGGTGAGTACAGAGCAAACTATTCTTTCGCTTCAATCGAGCTTCTAAATTTTTTTTGAGTTCGAGCATTTTCGAGTTCAAGTTTCAATATTATATTTCGAGTTCGAGTTGAACTTGATAATTTTTAGTTCGAGTTGAATTGAGCTTACTTTTTGAAGTTTTTGAGTTCGAGTCGAGCTCAACAATACTCGAGTTCGACTCGGCTCGTTTAACAAATGACGTCGTTTGGTTTAATTTTTTTTTTAAAAAGTAAAAAAATAGAATCGACAGTTCACACCGGTTTTGTCGGTTTTCAGTCGGTTCACCCCGGTTTTGCCGGTTCTCAGCCGGTTCTACCGGTTCTGTGCACATCCGATTTTGGAAGTTAACCGGATCGGACAGACAACCGGTTCCCAGTTCAACCGGTCGAACCGGCCGGTCCGATCCGATTTTAATAACATTGATTTATATTCAAGTTGCATTTTTTTAGGGCAATATTTCTTGTATAAAGGATAAATAGACGAGATAGTCTTCCCAATGATGTGCAAATCTCATTTCTTCTCGAATTAAGGAATATTCCCTAACAAATAATTTGGATAACTTCCTTTATAGGGAAGCCTTATATAGTTTAATGTTCAATGAGTTGCTTGCGGGAGGGCAAGTGTCAGAAGCTAAAGTGGTATTTGAAGTTGCATTAGATAGATCTTTTCATTTGGGTAACTTCCTTTATAAGGATCTCATTGAAAAACTTTGTAAAGATGAGAAGTTAGAGGAAGAAAGTGGTATTTTGCACAAGTTGATTATCAAAGGATACAAATTTGATCCTGCATCATTCATGCCGGTGGTTGATGACTTGGGTAAACGAGGAAACAAGCACGAGGCTGATGAACTTGCAGAGAAGATGTTGGAGATGGCTTCAGATGGTAGAGTGGAAAACAAGATATCTCGAAAAGAAAAGGAATCAATCCATAGAAAAGGAACAAAGTATGGTGGAGATGCCTGGCAAACAATAGTGCACAGGTATGGCTAAAATAGTAATTCTATTTTTCTTGCTTTTTGTCTTCATTGGCTTTGTTGATCTTTGGAATGTTTAGTGCTACATGCTAATTGCCAAATATAGACAGCAGTTAACTATAGCCTCTCCTTGAAAAAAGGAAAAAGTAGAACAAATCATTATATGTTAAAATCACATAGCTTCGATTAATATTCTTTTACAGGGATGATGCACCACTTTTTACAGCAGTTCAATGAGTTCCTTTTTTCTTATTAGTGCAGTTTATTGTCCTCTGTATATTATTTGGTGTACTTGACATAGCTTCGATTTAATATTCTTTTACAGGGATGATGGAAGTGGAATCGCTTTGAAATCCCTTAAGGGGGTACAGAAAGGTTGGGGTCAGGGAAGTATACCGAGTTTGCGGCCCCAGAAAAATGAGCTTTTTGATTACTGGTGAAGTTGGTTGTTTAAGTTCCCATTTATCAGAAGATAGGGGTGGAGGTTACTGGTCATTAAGCAAGGATTAATTTTTCATTCATGGAGGATTTCCTATGTCGAGCACTTGTGCAAAATATTCATTTTAAATTGGTTGGGTTGGGAAGTCATGAAGCAGGCAAATGTTGCGGAGTAAGTTTTGATGTGCTTATTGATTTTCAGTAAATTGTCTGTGCTTGTGAAGTAACTGCCTAATAGCACCTTGTTTCTGTATTTCTGCAGACGGATAGCAAACTGGATTGCGAGCAAGCTGGTTTTAGATTTTCTCTGTAGAGTAAAAAGGGTTGCGCAACACAACTTGGGCCAAAAGCTAAAACTTACATGCGGTAGTCTCACTACCGAACACGGTCTCGCTGTTTCACCTAGTTTATGAAGCCACCATGAAAACTCTAACGTCAAACATCGAACTTTTAGTTAGTTCACACCGTGGCAAACACGAACAGATTGCAAACATTTTCAGAACAATCGACTTGGAACATTTACAGAACCTTGTCTTGGGTGGCAGTGCTACTAATGTGTTTGCAGCGATGCAGTGTGGGAGGGTCAAGTGTAAGATTAGCGGATATTGGCTTGGTGCATCGGCAAACCACAGAGATTATTGGGGCATAGATGGATGATTCCTTGCTTCGGACGTGTTTAATAAGCAAGTAAACACGAAAAATATTGTACCCGAGAACTTGAAGGGGTTGATATAGGCTTATGCATGCATACTCTTGTGCTTATATTTTGAGTTAAATAAAAGACAATCAGAACTGAATATTTGTTCCGCTTAACACAACTAATAAGCTTTTATTTAACTCAAAATATTCAAATCTGAATGTCTTTTATTTAACTCAAAATATAAACACAACAGTATGTATGCATAAGCCTATATCAACCCCTTCAAGTTCTCGGGCTGGGACGGAGCCAGAATTAAATATTGGCAGGGGCCGAAATATTAGATTATTTAAGAAAAATATAAAGATTTATTAGGTATTTAAACTCGAAATTCAACATATACCAAGTGACCTTTGTGATTAAGGGATTGTTGTTATCATTGAACTCCCGAGTTCAAGCACGTATGTAGGGGTATAGCGTTCATTGTCAAATAGTTGAAAGTCTTTGTATATATATTACCTTGTATTCACCCTAAATTATATAACAAAAACTCAAAAAACAACTTCTAATTTGTCTAATATTTAAACTTACAATGACTTAAATTGTAATTAGACAAAAAAAATTGAAAAAACAGACTTATCATTATTTAATTCGACCCCTACTTGATTAAATATTTAATAAATTTTTATATTTTTAAATTTAAATATTTATTTTTAAATGAACTAAAATACTATTAAACCAAAATTATATCGAATATATATATTTTAACAGGAGCCGAAGCCCCTTGGGCCTAAGGAGCTCCGTCCCTGTTCTCGGGTACAATATTTTCGTGTTTACTTGCTTATTAAGCACGGCCAAAGAAAGTAATCAGCCATCTATGCCCCAATAATCTCTGTGGTTTGCCAATGCACCAAGCCAATATCCGCTGAATGAAAGAAGAATGTAGTTTGGCTTACATAAGTTGTGCTATTTTTAGCTTTCATATTTTCCCGGCATTTCTCCCTACAGATTTTAGATACCTGTCTTGTCTTGCATTGTCAAAATATAAACAAAATACTATGTATGCATAAGCCTATATCAACCAAGAAGGAGAGCAGGAGACATGGGTATTGCTTGCTTTGTTTTGCTAATGGGGATATTTTTTTTATCTTCCTTTGTTTGTGTGTGGAATCTTACTGGTGATTTCTCATGCATAAACATATAACATATATGTATATGTATATATATTGTGTTGAATTCTCTTGGTTAATGAGCCAATAATCATTTCATTGATAACCTCAAAAATTACAAATAAAAACGGCCCTAACAATGCAGCAGCAAACGAATAATGCTGCCTTTACAAAGTTGCAAAGTAGAAGCATACATGATTATCTATGAAAGAAAAGAATTCAACCCTACACCCTTGGACAGATGAACACACTGAAAGTCCCACAAATAGCATTCATCTTCGGACAACTCATTGACGTCGATCAAGCTCTGGCTCCCGGCTACTTCACATCTAGTCGGTGAAAGTTCTCGCCGTCTTCTTTGGAATACAGAGTCACCCTATCATCAATCCTCGCTCCGTCGAAAAAACGAGTCCACCCCGAGCCGTTGATGTAGTACACGTTGCCACCTTTACTCTTGCATTCAAACTCCCACCATTCAGACCCGTTTGTGACTGTTAACGCAATCTTACGACCAGGAGCTTCAGGAAGTGTACCACTAAGATCAACAAACCTCCATCCTGCTTCATTGTTTGCAGCAAGACAAACTTGTCCCATCACCGCCATGTTCTTCAGTAATCTGCGAATTCAAGTTTTTTTTTTTCTGAAAGAAAGAAGAATGTAGTTTTGATTGCACTTTTCTTAAGGGTTATTTGTAACTGAACCAGCTTTGCTTTCTCGAGCAAGGAAAGGAAAATAAATGCGTATTGTTTATATGGTTAGAAATCGCGAGGGTTTTTCTTGCATACGCTGTAAATACTCGCTACTCCTTATAGAGATGATTCTCAGAACTATACATGAACTTTTATTAAATACATAATTATATACGATTCTATATAACTGTATATATAAAATTTTGATTGGATTCAATTTTTATATCATAATTATAAACACAAACATCATTTTACAATCATGTACATTGAATCAGAGTTCACCGATAACATAAAGGATTACAAGACCTTAACAATGCAGCAGCAAAAGAAGCATGCTGCCTGGTAAACAGAGATGCAAACCACAAACACACACTTCAATCCTACTCCATTACACAAACAAGCGATCGAACACTAATGTCTACACGTTCATCAAGCTCTCTACCTCACTCGGATTCTGTGGAAGTCTTCGTCGTCGTCTTTGGAATAAAGGGTGACCAAAGCATCCATCCTCGGTCGGACGAAACGTCGCCACCCAGAGCCGCTGATGCAGTACACGCCATCTCCTTCACTCTTGCATTCAAACTTCCACCATTCGGACCCGTCGGTGACCGTTAAAACGATTCGACCACCGGGGAGTGTGCCGCTACGGTCAGTAAACCTCCACCTAGCTTCATGGTGTGCTGCGAGATTAACTTCCGCGATTGCTTCCATTTCTTCAAACTCAAAAGATTGCAATGTGACTTTCACGCAAGTAAACGACAGTTAATATAGATATAATTAATTAATCGCCAACATTTGAATACAGAATTCAAGACATTGGATGATGCACCGTTCAAAACAGAATTTATATTAATCAAATGTCACTTTGTTTTTCAAGACAGAAATCAACTCAACTTTAAGGAAAAAGTAAGTATTTTCTTGACAGAATTCACGACAGAACTCAATCTTTTGAAGACATTTATATTAATATTATTACATTCGCCAACATTTGAATACAGAATTCAAGACAGAATTCAAGACAGAACTCAACTCAACTTTAAGGATAAAGTAAGTATTAATCAAATGTCTTGAATTCTGTATTCAAATGTTGGCGATTGTAATAATATTAATCAAATGTCTTCAAAAGATTGAGTTCTGTCTTGAATTCTGTGGGAGTTGGTGCGGGCGGGTTTGGCACCTCCTAAGGTTGAAGCGTTGTTGTGGAGACTAGTCCAAGGTCGCATTCCGGTTCGAGCTGAACTGATGAAACGTGGCGTAGGTAGTGTATCATCGGATTGCTGTGCGTTGTGTAATAAAGAGGTGGAAACTGTTATCCATCTCTTCTTCCATTGTGATATATCTTGGAAAGTGTGGCAGGCTTGGTGTGGACTACGAATATTCAAGTGGTAGTTCCTAGTTCGTTGGAAAGCTTCATAATCTTTTGGGAGCAACTACCGTGTAAACCTTCTGTCAAAACTACAATTACTACATAAATTCGATCTCTTGAATTTATCGATAATCTTATCAAAAGGTAATAATTAATCGGAGGACACAAATAACTCCAAAAGAACAACATTTGATTCCAGATGTACAATCTTTTGAGTTTGAAGAAATGGAAGCAATCGCGGAAGTTAATCTCGCAGCACACCATGAAGCTAGGTGGAGGTTTACTGACCGTAGCGGCACACTCCCCGGTGGTCGAATCGTTTTAACAGTCACCGACGGGTCCGAATGGTGGAAGTTTGAATGCAAGAGTGAAGGAGACGGGGTGTACTGCATCAGCGGCTCTGGGTGGCGGCGTTTCGTCCTGCCGAGGATGGATGCTTTGGTCACCCTTTATTCCAAAGACGACGACGAAGACTTCCACAGAATCCGAGTGAGGTAGAGAGCTTGGTTTGCAATGGTGTAGGATTGATGTCTGTCTTCCTTCTTTAAATGAATAATATATGTTCCTGTGATTTGCAAATTTGTTTTGTGAAGGCAGAGAATTTTGCTGCATTGTCAAAGGTCTTGATGTTATCAATGAAAAGCTTATTAGTTGTGTGAAGTGGAACAAATATTCAAATCTAATTTTCTTTTATTTAACTCAAAATATAAACACGAGTACGTATGCATAAGCCTGTATCAACCCCTTCAAGTTCTCGGGTACAATATTTTCGTGTTTACTTCCTTATTAAACACGTCCAAAGCAAGGAATCAGCCATCTATGCCCCAATAATCTCTGTGGTTTGCCAATGCACCAAGCCAATATCCACTAATCTTGCACTTGACCCTCTCACACTGCCTTCCACTACACCGCTGCAAACATATTACAGAGCATCGCCATTTCAGCTCTCGGGATGACCAAAACAAACAAATTACAAAAATTTACAGCGTATGCAAGAAAAACTCTCGAAAACATTCGACTTGGAGCAATGTCAGAAGGTTTTAACCTTCCCTCGCGATTTCTAACCATATAATCAGTATGCATTTTTTTCCCTTTCCTTGCTCGAGAACGCACAGCTGGTTCAGTTATAAATAATCCTCAAGAGTGTTGAAGAAAAGTGTAATCAAACCTACATTCTTCTTTCTTTCAGGAAAAAAAAGAAACTTGAATTCGCAGTGTACTGAAGAACATGGCGGTGATGGGACAAGTTTATCTTGCTGCAAACAATGAAGCAGGATGGAGGTTTGTTGATCTTAGCGGTACACTTCTTGAAGCTCCTGGTCGTTAACGGTCACAAACGGGTCTGAATGGTGGGAGTTTGAGTGCAAGAGTAAAGGAGGCAACGTGTACTACATCAGCGGCTCGGGGTGGACTCATTTTTTCGACGGAGCGAGGATTGATGATAGGGTCACTCTTTATTCCAAAGAAGATGGCGAGAACTTTCACCGAGTAGATGTGAAAAAGCCGAGAGCCGGAGCTTGATCGACATCAATGAGTTGCCCAAGGATGAATGCTATCTGTGGGATTTTCATGTGTTCATCTGTCTAAGGGTGTAAGGTTTAACTCTTTTCTTTCATAGATAAATCATGTATGCAACTTTGTAAAGGCAGCATTCTTCTTTTGCTGCTGCATTGTTAAGGCCGTTTTTATCTGTAATTTTTGAGGTTATCAATGAAATGTTTATTGGCTCATTAACCAAGAGAATTCAACACAATATATATATACATATACATATACATATACATATATGTTATATGCTTATGCATGAGAAATCACCAATAAGATTCCACACACACAGGAAGAACAAAAATCACAAAGTGTGAAGCATCCTTTTAAAGTTATTTAAAATTAGAAAAGAACAATTCAAAGTGTATGTACATAAGCAAAGTACCAAAGATGAAATGATCCAATGTATGCATAAGCCTATATCAACAACTTCGAGGTCTCGGGTGTAATATTATCGTGTTCACTTGCTTACTAAACACGACCAAAACAAGGAATCAACAATCTGTCCATAATCGCTGTGGTTTGCCAAGGCACCAAGCCAATATCAACTAATCTTACATGGGGGAGTTTCTTGGTCAAATTTAAAGACAGCATGAAATTTCAAGGAATTACTGCCCCGGGTTTCCCAGAAGTCTCTCGACCGCAGCATGGACATTTCCGGAAGTAGCTCGTAGTGCTCTGATATTCTCTTGCGTATCGTAGAATCCCATTTCTTGGAGTTGCGATAATTGTGTAGCATACAGTTCTTCTGGGGGAACTAGTATTCCAGTGAAGATGCCATTAGTAGTGACCCAAAAGTAAAAAAAAAAAATCTAATAAAACCAAAGCCTTCGTAAACATATAATAAGAATGCTAACCATCAGGTTGGTTGGGGACACCCAGGCCACCAGCATCTAGTCCGCCAAACATATTCATCAGCAAGTCCAGATTAGCAGCTCCTGGTGCCGCTGAAAATACAATCGAACAAAACGAAGGGTAAAAACATAAAACGGTTGAAAGAGCTGGTAAAGGAAGATGGCGCAGCAAACTAGAGAAAGCCCTAGACAATTTGAGGAAGTAATCTTCATGCTCTTTTTAGAGAATTAACTACAGTTTGGAATTGTTATAATCTATACCTGTAGTACCACCGGTCTGTGCTGAATCCCTGTAAGAAAGCCAAATGAGGTTAAAAAATTATTATAAAAAATTGATTCTATTTTTCAAATCTCTCATATGGTCCAATCGAAACCAATAATATCAGAAGAAAGGTACAACATATCTATCTTCAATCAAGGAACCAGATAGGATTTAAGTCGGTTTAGAAACCATTTTGATACTTGTAACGACAGCGTGTAGAAATCTTAGGACAACCTCGAAAGCAAGAGTAGTAAAAGGCAATTGAGGTTTTTGTTATCAATGGAATAGACGGAGGTACTATCACTTACTGGGTTGCTTGTTGTCGATTGAGAGACATAAGGGACTGTTGTAAAGCTAGCATTTGCTGCAAGAAATAAAAGGAAAAGGAGGAAAGGTGAACATAGGTGACTCCACTGTCAAAACAGTACTTGAAAAAAACAGTAAATAATCTGATATATAAAGTGAGGTAGCCTTAGCATTCCCATAAGACTGTATCAGCTACGGGTGAGCTTAAATAAAGAAAGATATATTGATGCAAAACCATCAAGTTGTGTAAGCTTTTAGCATTTACCAAGAGAGAATTCAGTGACACTAATGTCATAGAACATACCTGCATTGTCTCAGGGGAAAACATCTGACGAAGTACTTCTGGGTTTTGCATCATCTCTCTCAATTGAGGATTCAAATCAAACATAGTACGTAGTTGGGGGTTGAGATTCATAATCTAAAAAGTAAAAACAGATTTTTAACAAACTGAAAATAAGCAAACGAAAATCTCTTGACTGAAGTGATTCCTCAAAATACCTGATTCATATACTGGGGATTAGACATTATGCTCTGCATCATCTGTGATATTGCTGGGTTTTGCAATAACTGAGTCAACTGAGAAGCATCTGGCATTCCATTCATCATTGGAGGCAGATCTGGAAGTCCAAGGCTTCCCAGACCACCAACACCTGGTGTCCTGGCATCCGCAGTAGGATTTGGCCTTGCAGTAGCATTGGTCTGGGTCCCCCCTGACAATTTGCAGCAAACATTAATTCATCAGGAAATCAAGATCTAAAACACAGATACAACAATCCCATTAAAAGAAAGAATCCCTCATCCACATTGCAAACAGTCAAAAGATAATAGTCCATAAGCATGCGACATTAAACAAGGGCAACAAACTGTAATTACATGAATCTCAATCAAACCGTTCACCCAACAAGTGAATAAACTCGGACTAACGCTTTGTTTTAAACATTGATCAAATCTACATAATAAAAAATACTTAGACCAATAGTTTTCAGGATCATGCTTACATAATTTTCCTCATCAATCAGTAGCATTTGGAATTAGTTACCATTCATCTCAGCAGCAAGTGCATAAAATGAAAAATTATGCAAATTTGACAAAAGAGTATAGCTAGACAGAAAAGTTGTTTCAATGAAGTATAGAATACTTGCCACCACCAACAGTGTTGCTCCAAGGGTTAGGGAGAGGATTTGTGTTTGGGGAAGTTTGCCCCTGAGCAGTTTCAGAATTAGTCGTAGAAGTGTTAATAGTTGAGTTTCTAGCTTGAGGACCACCTTGATTGCCCAATAAAGCAGCAAATGGGTTTGAACCAGGGTTATTTCCAGTATTCCCACCCATAGTTGTAGCATTCAAAAATGGCTCCTGAACATTTTCATACATACGCCTAAGCATGTTAAATCCCTCAGGAGAGGCTTCAATATTACTCATAGCCCTATCAGTGTTTCGCATCATTTCACGCATGAGTTCAGGGTTTCTTGTAGCTTCCAATGTTTGCCGGAGAATGCTAGGATCATTAAGTACATGCCCAAGTTCAGGATTCCGATCAATAATTTCACGCATTTGCGGATTGCTCATAATCAAACTGCGCATCAACTCCGGGTTATTCATCAAACTTTGTACAGCAGGTGTATTCATTATTTCCCTCATCATGTTGGGATTCTGAGTTAATTGTTGCTGTACTTGTTCAAATTCAGGAAGTCCAGATCCAAACAAACCAAAACCTCCACCACCACCACCACCACCAAGTGGACCAAGTCCGGGGAATAAGGATGCTCCCAGACCAGCACCTTCATTCGAACCAATACCCCGAGTTACCCCTGGTGCATTATTATCCCCTGCAACATTTGTTGTAGCTGCAGGAGGAGGTGCAGATGAAGATGGGGCAAAACCACGAACCATGTGAACGGTATGATCAGCTTGCAAACCTTCAAAATAGAAATGGTCAAGTGATTAAAGGGTGGTATCATAATTAATGCCTTTCAATTTCAATGATCATGTTACAATCTTCGGTAACCCCAGGTTATACGATCAAATATCCATCTAAACCAGCTCAACAAAATAAATACCATTCCACCAAAATCAACATATTCTCAAGTAAAAACCTAATTATCCATACTAAGAAAGTCAAGCATTTTCCTCCTAGTTTCAAAACTTACTACCATAACCATTTTTCTTCTAGGAATCTCACCGTTCTCTAACATTTTTCTTATAATTCAATCAAAAAAGGAAATACCCAGAATTTATAAGAGGGGGGGGGGGGGAAAGCATTCTCCCCTAAAGGAAAAATAAAACATACCATAACTTTGTAGGGTTTGGTCGTCCTTCAAGATTCGCCCTTTATAAATTAATCGTTGGTGATCAGCTGGGATATCGCAATTCTGAGCCAAAAGAGCTTTGAAAGATCCAACGCTCGATTCCAAGCTGGTCCTCACCGTAAATTTTGTGCCGTTCGAGCAGCGGATATTAACCATCACTCCCTCCTCTTCTCCCCCTCCATTGCCACCGAGTCGTGACTCGCTCGAATTGCCTTCCACACCCATATCCTCCCTCTCTCAGATCGATCAAAAACCCTATAAAAAATAATTGAATTTTTTTTTAAAGAATCGGAGCAATTTGTAAAAAAGAATCGTAAAACCACGGGATTTTTGGGACTTGGGATTTGGAGAAATTTGGGGATTCTAACAGAACAGAGCTTTGTTCGGGTTTGTGTGAGTGGCCATAATGCCCCATATTGTAGAATTATTATTACGGTAACTTATGCTCTTCATCACTCAACCTTTTCCTTTTTTCTGTTATAGTCATTCAACTTTAATATGTTTCAATTTAATCAATAATTTTTAAATTACTCTTATTTTAATCCTTCTCTCATTAATTAACAATGTTACGACAAAACATCTATTTTTTAAAACTATAAAAACCCAAAATAAAATGTCTTTATTCTTTTCTGAAAAACTCTTGAAATCTTTCTAAAGCCTAATTTTTTTGTACTTCCTTTGATATTTTGATATTAAAGCATTTTTCTAAATTCCAATTGTGGAAAGGTGGAGAAGGAAAAAAGAGATTGTATATCATGGTTTTGAACTAATGACACGAATTCCATTCTAGTATAAAATTATCCAGGTCAAAATAATGATTTCAATAACATTTTCTATTGTTTTCTATTTAACACTTGAGTGATAAAAACAGAAATAATTTAAAAATTAAATGACAAATTAAAACTTTTTAAAGTTAAGTGGTGTAAACAGGAAACATATACAAAATTAGGTGATGAAAATTATAATTTACTCTGATATTATTATAACAGGTTTGTCATGTAAACCAGTAATGTCCTGCCACGTTTCACAATAATTGTACCCTTAGCTATTTTAAGGGGAAACTACATCCAAAGTAATTTGTTTAAAATTGTATCTTATTTTAGTCATCAAATTTGAGAAAAAAATACATTTTAATCGTCTATATTATCGATTCATTGTGTTTTGATAACCGAATCGTTAATATTATTAAAATAATGGTGTGACACATTAACAAATAATATTTATTCCTAATTTGACAACTGAATTTTAAAAAGTTTATTTTATAACCTATTTAAACAAAAAAAAAAAATGAAAAATCATAACCTCTCTTCTCTTGACTAGCCTTAATATTAGATTTATTGTCGCCGCTGCCTTTAACTGTTGGTTGGTGTAGTATCCGACACCTTCTTTGAGGAATTGAGGCGGTGTTGGTGGCGAAGGCGGTCCACGGTGGTTCCTCTAATGAGCTCTCACACTTCCTCCCCTAGGGATTCTACTTTGCCCTCCATTTTAGAAAGCTCTACCTAATTTTGATAAGAAATGTAGTTAACCCCTGCTAGTCAAACAACCTTAACTAAGAGAAGCTCTTTGGATTTACTTGACTAACAACTTTACGAATTAGAAAGACTCGACTCTAATCAACGAGCTCAATTGTACGACGCATTTAAATTAAGTCATTTCCTCTCCTAGTATATGTCACCTACACTCTCGATCGAACTATGGTAACTTGTTTGTCGATTAGAATTAGATGACAATTACGGAGCGAAAAGTCGAACCGATGGTATGTTACTCTAAATATCGAACAAGGAACCGTTCTTGAATCAACACTAAAGTAATAAGAGATCATCCTATCTATCTGATTAAATAAAATGCATACCTTTTATCTCTCATGAATAGTTTTAATCAAACAAGAACACAACTGTTCATCCAAGATGAGTTCAGAGCTTAGCAAAACAAGTCCATATGCCATCCTAAAGCTCTACACTCCGGCATGCCTCGTTTGCTCTATCCAACTCGCCCGAAAACATCACTTCTCGTCACTCGCATGCACCCTGCACAAAATTATCATAAGCACTGATGTATTTATATACTGATCCAGTCCACCCGAGTATGATCACAAGAGCGACAAAACTCTCCCTTATCAATAAATAATAAATCTAATATGGAACTTTTTTAACATTCATTGTCATTCCTAAATAAATAGTAGTAGTAATAAATCATTTCCCTTAATAACGAGTGATTTCACCATTTCAAGATCAATAGATCTCTCTTCTCCAATGTAATGGAAGATCGATCATCGTAAATGTTTAAGTACATTATTCAGACATGAAATGCAGGCCAACTCGAGGTTTTTTTCCTGACAGATTATACAACTATCCTAAGCTCTCCAGTAAGCAGTGCAAATTTTCGATGCTGAGACAAAATAGAAGGGATTCTAAGAGCTTGAATTTTCGATGTCAGGTCACTGCAACTTGATTCCGTCTGTTTTGAAGCTGCGTTGAGTATGGTTTGCAAGATTTGCAATGGGTCACCATGACTGACAACCAAGATCGCACACCTGCTTCAGGAAAGAAAAGATATTAGCTTCAGATTAGGCTTGGCATCAACACGCTATCATGTTATGCTAATGCTGCATTCCCTTTTATTTATAGAGCAGATCGGAACTATGTCGCTCCAACGCATACCCAGACATGAATACAAGAATATGTTAATGACCCTCCAAAAATATCTTAAAATACATAGAAAATGAAAGATTCAGCAAGGGATTCTACTTTTGATGTGATAAAATTCAAGAGCAAATTTCTACTTTTAGTTGGAGTAAACTAGGTGCGTGATCATAAATTTAACCACTCTAAAGTGTTTCATGATTCCAATCACAAACAGTATCATGCCTATATTTGAGTATTTCCCATGCCTCTACACACACCAAAGGCTTCTCTTTTCTATTTAACTCTATTTGCTGGAAGTTGACCTACTATGAGGAGAGAATATATCAATTTATTTCATATTTGATATCATTTTCAGCAAATCCCGTATCGAAAAACAACAGAGTTGCTTGGTATTCTAGACATAATTTGTAGGTTTTGTAAGTTCGGAAGTTAAACAAAGGCGAATAGTTTACCCCTGGTATTCGGATTCCATAGTTGCCATAGCACTTGTGAGTCTAGCAACAACATCATCAACACTTTCTCCACCTTCTGGCCTCGTGAATGGATCTTTTTCATCCATTGCCCATATTTCCGGATACTGTTAATAATTTACAGAAAAAGTTAATAAAGACTCAAATGGCAATGGGTTCCATGATAGTCCTTATAATCCATCAGCTTGAAGGTAATGCTTGGGAAGATATAAATTGAGCATGCATACTTGTCACTTACTTTATCATGAGACAGAAGCTCGAATGAAGGGCCAAAGTATCGTTCTCGAAGATCTTTTATGACCTATCCTGTCAGCCAAATTCGATTTAACAAATTTTCCCTCAAGAAAAGATTGAAATCGAAAGCAGAGGAACTCTGACACAGAGTCAGGTTTAGCATCTTAATTACTATAAACTCACCTTGCATTGAGGACCCTCAAATGGAAGATTCAAAACCGATGCGACAATCTCTGCCGTATGACTCGTCCTTGCAAACGGCGAGTAACAAACACGCACATTCTCAAGCTGTATGTTGTTTTCCTTCAGTTCCTGCACTCGGTAATCAAGCAAGTAAACATGTGGTATGGTGTTTTGTAGTTCGTCTTTACTACACAGTACTTAGAGCCTACATCCAATTAAAGCAATCACAAGGCCAATATGTGTATTTTCAGTGTTAACATCATAGAAACCTTCTTTTCAGCAGTGTAAACTTGTTCATCCTATGCTAAAATTATACGAGCAGCAACTACCTTTAGGAATAATTTTCCAGCCAATTGAGTTTGCTCTACACCTTCCGATGCCAACCGATATTCGCGGCAAACACCATTTTCCTGAGGGGATTCTAAAGATTGGTTAACAACAAGAGCCGAGTAGCAAAATGAAACTTTATGGTATGCAGTGAAAATAGATCATAGCAGAAATGAAGCTTAGCAGCATCACTTGATATGTACCGAGTTCACAATTTTCTGAATAGGCCCATATAGCTTAATGTTCCGGCACAAATATATTTAATTTCTTTTATGTTGTTGGGGTGTAATATTTCGTATTCATATTCGAATACGTGTGGAATAATCATCGAGATAAAAGAATTGAAAGACGAGACAGATAACGATAGGAGAGGTGAAGGAATTGAGTGACTGACCAATGAAGAAACAATGAGGCGTTTCTCGTTTGGGATGCTTTTGCCATGCCTGAGAACCCAGTATCTGTTGCGCAGAAACGACGTTTCCATCTCTGTTCCTCCTGGGTTCTCTCACTTTTGCTTCCCAATTGCAAGTGGTCAGTTCTTATTTATATCAAAAAGGGAAATCCCTTCAGCGTTTGGGTTGGGAAGACTTCTATTTTCCACTTTTAGTGGATGGTATTGTTTCAAAGGCTACAACTACATCTATTGTCACTTTCGTTTTCAGTTTACCTAATTTTTATAATTATTTTTAAAAGGAATTATGTTTCAGTCATTTATGTTATCTATTTATTACGTTTTGATCACTGAATTGGAACATATAGGTTGTAACACATTAATGAAAAGGATTAATTTTTAATTTAATCATTAAATTTTTAAGAGCTTATTTTTTTCGGTCGTCATCCAATTTTATCTTCAACATAAGGATTTTGTGTCATGAGTTACCTTCAGTCGCTGCCTAAATCCCATGAGTCAGATTAGGTTTTTATAGTGAACGTTAAATAAATACTTGAGATTGTTCGTGAATATAAAATAGGGACAAAGCCATTCGTTGGGTGGAAGGGCTCTAGAGCCCCCAAGTTTTTCCTTCTTCGGTAGAATGCCATTTGGGTCTTATTAGTTTAAATATTAGTTAAATAAAGTCTTTATTCCTCTTAATTTTTAAATTTAAATACTTAATAGATTCTTGCTTCTTACAATGTTTGATCTTAACTCCACTTGTGACCATTTTATCTTCTTAACGCTACTGTCGATTGCATATAATGAAATGCTAGTTATTATGACTCGTTTGATAGCCACTTCACGCCCATCGTCCAATATAGCGTGATAGACTGAAATCAAAACTATTCGTACTAATCTTATGATGTGTTTTTTTTAGAGAAATTGTTGCTGGCTTGAACCAATGCTTCAAATGAAAACTTCTCCAAACAACAAGTGGTTCTTATGCTAGTTAATTGGCTCGATCTCATTTTAAGGATCGTTGATGGGGTATAAGAGTTCAATTTGAATTCGAACCACCATTAATATGACACTAATCTCATCAAAGTAACTCAAATCATAGA